GCTTTGGGCCAATCCCTTTTGGGTTGACTTTTGCCCACGAGGAGATGGGTAACTTCAGGTGTTTGATTTAGAAGTTATACTCTTTGTGTTCCATATTGTATATTCACTGTATTAAAGTCACTTTTCATTAAAGCCTTACATGTTGGGGTCTTGATGCAGCAGATGGCAGAACCTATTCAGAGCAGGCAGGTTTGGGGGTTCAATAGTGCCCCTCTCTCCCTTCTCTGTCTCCTCTTCCTGCCCTGTAACAGCATGACTTACAGTCCAGTTTATTTGATGTCCCTTTTAAACTATGGAATCCAAAAGTATACACATCACTTCCATTGCGTTTTACGTGTACAGAACTAATGGGTTCACCATTTAGTGCCACTGACATATTTTATACTGATTACTGTAGCTTTGTTTACACAATTATATTACATTTGGATTTACATTAAATTTAAACTAAAATAAAGCCCCTAGATGTTTTTATCCCTTATAATCAATGCCAAAGAAAAATTACTCCCAGTCTCATAATATATAACATTTTTCCATGTTTTTACTGAAAATTAATATTGTCATTTTGGGAGTTGTTGGATTCTGAGAGTGGGGTATTTAGGTTCACTCTGGGAAAGGTTTCACCAGCATTCCCCTTTCACCGGCACTGGTGAGGTCTCAGGCAAATGTCTCCACACAAAGCCTTAGTTATATCCAAAAGGGCAGGTATACTATAAAAGGGAGAAAAAAAAAGGACACATGCATAGACACAACTGGGCAGAAAGGGCTAGCCCAAAAGGGAGTGGTTTGCTAAGAGGGAGGCCTGCATGGTCCCAGGCAGGTGACTTTGAAGAGAGTGGCCTCTGCTGAGGAAGGGCAGTGAAGAGAATCCCTGGCTGGTCACAGGCGGGTCACAGGCAGGCAGATAAGCTGCTGCCATACAGAGGGACAGAGAGTTGGCAAAAAGGAGCACCTACATAAACACAGATGGGCAGAGAGACTGCTGTTCCCTGTAGAGATTGTAACTCCGTAGTCTTCTTATCTTTGGGAGGGGCTCACTCCATGGACTAGTTTTGTCAGTGACTTTGAATGAACTATATAAAATATAAAAAGGGCCAGATTTCTACATTGGTCCTCAATCTCCTTATCTTCACCTTCAGGTCTGCTCTCCTGACACCCTCTACAGCAGCCTGATACCTGCAAGGATTTTGTGCTTTGTGATCTAGTCATTGATGCCTAAGGCTCTTAGTTCCTATAGCCAGTTAATGGCTATATTAACCCTTTCTATCCCCATATTCACCTCTAGTCCTTGTGAGCCAGATTTCAGGTCTTGTGGAGCCTCCTGTCCAGTTTTTCTATTTTTATACTCCATCATTAACATTATTGAAAACTTGAGGAAAGTGAAAAACCAGGAAGAACAAAAACCATAGCAGTTAATTCCAGCATACTTTATGTGATTGATGTAATCATATGACAAAAAACATCAATTTTGATAGCCATGCTTCCCAGCTCCAAGAAATGCTGAACAAAGAAATATGCTATTCAAGAAATGATATAATCTTTTGTAACAGATACAGGTTTCATGGACTCCACCCCCACCTTAAATACTGGAACTCCAAATCCCATCAATATCAAGGATGCTGGGACCTGAGGAGGAGCTGAGCAGGAAGGTTGGGATAAAACCAGACATGTGGGCTCCAGGGGTCTCTGGGCCTTGTGTCTCTTCCCATCTTGCCTCAGGCCTCTTCACCAGCTATTAGCATGCTATTGTGGTTCAAGTCAGAGGAACTGGTAAGACTCATTAATTAACTTATCTCTCTCCTTTCCCCTGAGTAGTTCATTTCCTTTTTTACTTGTAAATAAACCCATTATTGACCTTTTGTGTTTGTGTCAGCAGTCATGGGTGAAGACTCACAGACAGGCAACCCAATTGGGTAGGCCTGCCAGTTCTGCTGATTTGGAACCCCAATAGCATACTGAAAGCCGGTGAAGAACCAAGAGACAAGCTGTGAGCCACAAGGCCAAAAGACCCCATAGTCCACAGTGATTGAGAACCCTCATTGTTCTTCACACTGTTAACAGGGTCGTCCCTAGGAAAAGGGGAAATTCCAGGTTCCCTGCACCACCCAGGAGAAGGGCGGAGCTGAGAAGAGAAAAGCAGAGAAGAGAAGGAATCTGGACAAGAGGAAGCAGGATGGATAGCTGGAAGGAGACCTGAGGAAGCCACAAGGATCAGAGAGTAAGTGATGAAGAAACCACGTTTTTTTCTCGGCTGTACTGGTTGAAACAGATGTGGGTGAGAGACACATAGGGTGGTTGACTATGGCAGTGTTTATATTAATTTTGATTTTGCTCTTTTCCTCCCAGATTTGTCTGGCCATTTCTGATCCTTTTCTATTGCTCACGGCCAGCAGGTGCTTTAGGCTTGTGGCAGGCTTTCAGGCCTTGCTTTGGACCAATCGCTTTAGGGTGGACTTTTGCCCACAAGGAGATGGGTAACTTCAAGTGTTTGATTTAGAAATCATATTCTTTGTCTTCTGTGTTGTAATGTTATAGGACAAAATGTGTTATATGACAGGGGGAGAGGGACACCCCTCAAGCCCCAAAACCTGCCTGCTCTAAGTGGGTTCTGCCATCCGCCGCAACAAGACGAAACATATAAAGCTTTAATGAAAAGTGACTTTAATACAGTGAATATACAA